ACTGCTGATCTGACCTGATCTGCTCCAAACTGCACAAGATCACAAGATTATCCAGCAAGTGCTTCAGTGATTTTCAGCATCCTGGTCTCTTATGGAACAAAAGTTGCTAAGAAACACCTCCTTGTTAGCTGTTACAGAGCCTTTTACTTCCTTTGCTGCCCTCTTAAAAAAAAAAGGATGTATCTACAATCCCACAGGGTACTCCAACTTCTCCATTTGGTCTCTCTGAGGTTCTGCCTTCCGACAGAGAGGGTTTCCCTTTTAGATATTGTATCTAAAGACAATATGTGGCCCAACCCATGATGGTGCAATATTTTAAAATCCCAGAATTGTCAGATAGAATCATTATTCCAGGGTCTTAAAATCTATATTAAATGAGTACTACAATGGATTTGAATAAAAAGAGAACCACCTGATGCCGAACAAGTGAGATTGCATTTGTGTATGGATTGGTGAATGGATGAGGTGTGAATATAGTGAGCTTTTTGGAGGAAATTTTGCAGTAAATTTGCAGCGGCGTTTTCAAAATTAATTCAAATTAATAACTGTTTTCACAAAATTCCAGGGTAAAATGTTGGTAGCATAATCACTAACACAAAGTGATCTTACACCTAATTTAAACTTGGTCAAACAGGAAAAAAAATCTGTGGCCAGTTTCATATTGTACACTTTTAAGTCTTTGGGCAAAATTGCATTTATAAGCATAGTGATTTCTGCAGACAGACACAAATAATGTAATACACAGGTTACACACTATGGACCTGAGATCAGACTCCAGATATTACCACTGAGCTGCCTCATGTTGCTCTTTGTATTTAGTTATACCACCTAAGAGTACAAGGTAAATAAAAAGACAAAGTCAGTTGTGCAGAACTGCTGGAGTAGGTTTATCAGTGCTTAGTCAGGGTTTTTTTTTTTTCCTGACTAAGCACAATTTAAACAGTCCTTAAATCACATTAGAGACTGATCTAAACGTTACTGGAATCTCTTCTCACCTGAGAGGTCATCAGATGATCCTTTGCAAATGAAAGCACTTTAACCTTAGCATAAAAATTTATGAGAATCCAATGTAAGGGTTACACATTGAAATGGTAGGTTAAGCGAGATCATTTGTGTAAGTCACATGGAGATTTCATAACCAAAACGCATGATTCCTCTTTGGTCCTCCTCAGTTATACATCCTGCTCAAATTTGTCAGCAACCTGTCATAAATCAAGCTATTGTATTTAATGACACAGATAATTATATATAATTTGGTTTGTGTAATGCTTCCAACAAGTTGGAACAGAAACACTACTTCAGCAGCAAGTGCTACATTTAGAAAACATTTCTGAATCATGCTTATGCTTCAGGGGTACACAATTACACTGACTACTGTCTAAATGCTTACATATTAACATGATAAAACTTTTCACATAAGCATACATTTTTAAGGAGGCCTGTTATGGAGCCTAAGGAGGACTACCTTTAGTACAGTCACAGTCGCAACAGTGGCAGTGGCAGTCGTGGCCTAATGGTTAGAGTCTCGGACTTGTAACCTGAAGGTGAACCTGAAGGTTGTGGGTTTGAGTCTCAGGTCTGGCAGGGATTGTAGGTGGGGGCAGTGAATGACCAGCGCTCTCTTCCACCCTCATAGCAAGGCACCGAACCCCCAACTGCTCCCCGGGCGCCGCAGCAAAAAAGGCTGCCCACTGCTCCGGGTGTGTGTTCACTACTGTGTGTGTGCACTTGGATGGGTTAAATGCAGAGCACAAATTCTGAGTGTGGGTCACCATACTTGGCCTCACTTCACAACTTCAGCTTTTTTTCTACTGTCTGCCTAGTCCCATGTGATCGCCATGCAAGTATTAGCCAGTATACGCAACCTAGATTATTCACTCTGGCAGATGTTTCCACAGCTGTTTATAGACTTAAAGTATTGACACTCTTTTCCTTGACATTGAGCTCTGGTTCCAGCTACAGCGACTAGTGACATTGGAATGGTCTTCTAAATTTGATCTAAATTAATTATGACTTCTAAATTAATTAAATTAATTATGACTAGATAAGGCAACTGGCTCCAGCAAACTCCGTGGACCTTGTGGCACTGATATTCTCTCACAACTTCAATTCCTGCCAGGGTTTAGTACAGATTTAACATTTTGTCCACTGCCATTTCTCATCACACACACATACATAGCACAGTCTGTCTCATAGCATTTTCAGGTCACCAAATCTACACTGTATGGCCAGAAGTTTGTATCCACCTTACCGTCACACCCATATGTGTTTTGTTGAACATGCCATTCCAGATTTAGTCCCCCTTTGCTGTTATAATAACCTCCACTCTTCTAGGAAGGCTTTCCACTAGATGTTGGTGAGTGGCTGTGGGGATTTGTGCTCATTCAGCCACAAGAGCATTAGTGAGGTCAGGCATTGATGTTGAGTGAGGAGGCCTGGGGTGCAGTCAGTGTTCCAGTTCATCCAAAAGGTGTTCAGTGGGGGTGAGGTCAGGGCTCTGTGCAGGACACTAGAGTTCTTCCAAACTAACTTTGGCACACCGTGTCTTCATGGTATTTGGATCTCCCTTTCAAATATGTTCCATCATGACAATGCTCCCTGTGCACAGGAGCATTGTCTTGCTGGAACATATTTGGACTCCTTGGTTCCAGTGAAGAGAGATTGTAATGCTACAAAGATATTCTAGACAATTGAGTGCTTCCAACTTTGTGGCAACAGTTTGGGAAGGCCCACATATTGGTGTGATGATCATGTGTCCACAAATGTTTGGCCATATAGTGTATATAATACCATAGGTGCAGGTTTGAGTGGACATTGCAGTTTTACTCAAAAACTGTGACAGTTATGTACTGCTGATTTAATACTAAGCTGCATTCTCAAGTCTTAGTGTGTTAAGTTTCTGATAATGGCACATGTATATAGCACACAACACCCAAAGTCCTGTCACTGTAGAAACAAGTGAGTATTAGAACATTATGTATGAACATCTGGTGTCATAAGGTTATTTCGTATTGAGTTCAAAATGTGTTCTACTACATATGCATTATAGCATATAAAGGCTCTGTTCTGCACAGAGTGCATTCAACTGTACAAAATATTATTACTTTTTATTTAGTATATCACTGGAATTAAGTTACACCTTGTATTTAGTGAATAAATGATTCTTCTTCTGGCGATCCCATTTAATATGCAATTAATTGTGAAGGTTAGGTGTTAAAGTTTATAGTTACGAGTTAAAATGCTTGCTATTTATATGAATTCAGGTGAATCAACCCCTTGCTGAGTCACTGCCTCTGAATAGATGACTTTATACCAGCCATAGAAAATAAAAGTGCTGGCTGTTAGAGTTTGTCACTTATATAACATTCAGTCTATGTAGCTAAAAGCTGACAGCCATGTGAAGTGGTTCATCAGTGAAAGAGTTCCTGTATAACCTGCTTGAGTAGAGCTCATTCCTGCTGATGTGGCAGAACCCAGGTTCTAAGAGCAGATTGCCTCCATTCAGCTTGAACAAATCTTGAAGAAATCTCACTGTATACTGTTAATGCAGGGATTCTAGATTGATATTAATGGTTATATAATGGATACATGCAGGTTTCAGTTACCTTCTAACTGGAAAGGAGTGAGAGAGGTCACTACACATCATTAGGAAAGTATTAAAAATTCCCCTTTTGAGGAATTTTTTTTCAGCCTGTGAAGGAATTGAAACTGCCAGAGATAAAAGTGTCAGTTTCAAGTTCCCTCAAAAGTGATGGTCAAGTAAATTGCACTAGGAACAGATAGGTTAAAGTTCAGAGAGGAAAAGCTGCTTATGTTTAAAATGTTTTTTTTCTCCTGGTGCTGCAAGAAAGTCTCATCATTGAGGCCCTTTTTCTGCTCTTTGAAGGACACCATCATTCATCATTCACATCATTGCATTTAAATTCATTATGGCCCTGTACAGAAAACTTCTTCAATCTAAAAAGCTTATTCCAGCTGTTTCCAGCTTTCTGCAGAAGACAATTTCATTTTCTGTAACAATCTGAAACTCCATTGTCATATTTCCACTGAAATTCCTCACAACACTGATGCTGCAATTCCCACAACTACAGAAATAAATTAACCTCACTTTCAGTATTAAGCATCAATAAGGGTCCTATATTGTACCAATCCAGTGACCTGGTGAGGTGTTCTTCTTCAGTAACTGCTTTATCCTGGTCAGGGTCTTAGGGGATCCGGACACTCTCCCGGGAACACTGGGCATGAAGTGGGAATACACCCTGGATGGGACGCCAGACCAATGCAGGGCTCCATGAGCACACAGTCATTCACACCTACGGGAAATTCCTGTATTTAAGAATAAATATAATCTTTGTGTGAACTAATGATCAAAATGTTTTTGGTAAATTCGGAGGACTCTTGCACAGATTTAAATAAAAAAAGAAATTGGCTTTTTACTTTCTTACTGACTCTCTACCATGTTATTACATTGTCCCTGTCCCCTGTGTTGCAGGGTTGCGGGCCTCTCTCCTGCTCACAGTCTTCTTCATGGTGTTGGGCTCCGCTCTGCGCAGTGTCCCCCTCTCAAACCTGCAGCTCAGACGCTGGTAAGACTCTCATTCACAACGCTCCATTTGACTCCGCATCTCTATCGTAGGCAAAACATCTTGTAAAGGTCAAAGCAATTTTCACACCCTGCCTTGAAGCCATATTCAATTCACTTTCAAGTGCCATTCTCTTGTGCCCCCTGGCATCTTAGTTATGATGTGGTTTGATGGTTTGTGTCATTGGGTGGATTATTGTTTTATTATTTAAGAACCTTGCACCTTCTGGAAGAGCAATTTTATTTGCTGCGATTTAATGTGCTTGTAAAAGTGAAGGCAAAGGACAAGGAAGACCATCAGCGCACAAGGTGCTGGGCTGCTAAATCCCTGAGTGTTGTACATAAAAAAACACAAATCCAAACACTAGATCAAAACAGAGAATTAACAATATTCCGTGATATGGATATTGTTTATGGGGGCATGGTGGCTTAGTGGTTAGCACGTTTGCCTCTCACCTCCAGGGTCGGGAGGTTCCATTCCTGCCTTTGCCCTGTGTGCGCGGAGTTTGCATGTTTTCCCCGTACTTCGGGGGTTTCCTCTGAGGGTACTTCCGTTTCCTCCCCCAGTCCAAAGACGTGCGTTGTAGGCTGATTGGCATCTCTAAATTGTCCGTAGTGTGTCCGTAGTGTGTAAATTGTCCGTAGTGTGTGTGTGTGTGTGCGATTGTGCCCTGCAATGGGTTGGCACCCCTGTCCAAGGAGTCCCCTAGGATAGGCTCCAGGCTCAGCTTGACTTTGTAGGATAAGCGGTACAGAAAATGGATGGATAGATGGATGAATATTGTTTATTTACTTTTACACCAGAGCACTGTTAAATACTCATATCTGATTTTTTCCAAAGGTGTTGATTAATTTTCTATTACAGCATGGCTCTAACAGTAGTCAGAGCAAGAACAATACATTGTCGTTTCTCTAGTAAGAGCTCCTTAACCTTTTCTCTGAGTACACTGGCGTTCCATTCTGTCGCCGGAATGGAAATTGACTCATTGGACATTTTCAATCAATATAAACAAATGAATTATTATATTGCCACAAGTCTGTTATAAGATTAGTCAGGAAACTGTTGGGTTTCTGTGTGTAGAGTGTCGTGGCTAAGTGTTTAGCTGTTGGTGAGCAGGGTGATGGGAAAGGGGAGGAGTGCGAGCCTCCTGCTGAGCAAACAATTCACACCTCTCCACAATAACATTGGTACAGATATAAAACAGACAGCACAACTAAAGCTTTTTTGATAGTGAGACGCTGTATACAACTGCCACAATAAAATTATAAAATTTAAACCTAGTAGACCTGGTAAAACTAAGAAATACTTATAATAAAAAAAACCTGCAAATTCTTAAAGCCTGACTGTCTACTTTCATATGAGCCATGAACCACTACTGTGGAGTGTGACATCAAAATAAATTCAACGCTGAACACGGGCACCTCACAAAACAGCCAGAAATTCCACTTTTTGACCTCTGGTAAAAAGAGTTAACAGGGACTTGTATGGTGGATGTTCTTGATAATCTAAACCTAATAATAACGAATGAAAATTTTGATATTTAAAAAAGAAAAATGTATAATAGTCAATATGGTGAAGCTT